TGAGGTCACCACAGCAAATTGACACTGTTTGCCCAAAGCCAGAGCACTGCCCCAGAACCTCTTTCTAGATCTCGTTGTATTGCTTTCACAACGGGCTTTACTGCTAGTGTATATATATATATGTATGTATATGTATATGTGTGTGTGTATATATATAAAAACAACCGGGTATGAGTAGGCACTTGAGCGTTGGGATGAATAGAGATCTCTTGCATCGGTTTTGATTGCACAGAGTGGGCGGTAGCGGCGAGTAGCCTGCCCTAGTCTTGGGAAGCAAGTGATCACAAGAGCGTCTCATCCGTCTGTTTTCCTCATCCACGCTTGCTCTAAGCACCATTTAAAACTGAATCGGCCCTTTAATAGCAAGTAATGCCATTAGTGGCAAATAGGACCAGAAAACTGTTGAACCACTCAGGACAGTACATCTCAGAACAACCACAACCTTTCACACAGTTTTGTTAAACGGACGTGGAGAAAAATTTGTGCACATCTTGGGGTGGGATGGGGAGGAAAAAGGCATGGTTTCTGTTTTGCGTACACGCATCTGAACGTCTTGGCATCCCATGTCGTCAAAAATATATATACGCTGCCAAGTACATGTGCACAGTTTTCACACAGGAAAAGTGTCCATACATGATAAGGGGGGAAATAATAGGGCACCTTCTAGTGCAGTTGTTGTTGTTCAGTCGCACAGTCGAGTCTGACTCTTCGCAACCCCATGGACCACATCACGCCAGGATAACAGATTTTATCTACTCATGTTGATGAAGTCCACCCCGACCTGGGTAGCCCAGGCTAGCCCAATCTCGTCAGATCTCAGCAGCTAAGCAGGGTCAGCCCCGGCTAGTATTTGAATGGGAGACCTCCAAGGAATACCAGGGCTGTGATGCAGAGGCAGACAGTGGCAAACCACCTCTGAACGCCTCTTGCCTTGAAATCTCTACAGGATTGCCATAAATTGGCTGTGACTTGATGGCACTTTCCACCACCAGATAAAATGTGGAACGGCTCTTAAGGAATGGAATCAGTCCTCATCTTTTTCTAGCAGATGATCTATCCCTCCAATGCAAACCCTTTCCAGGGGCTTTTGCCACTCACCAGGAGAGGGGTTTTGAGGAGAAGACGGTGACTTTGGCATGGTGGGCGTTCGTGTTTTCGCACGTTATGTGTCTCCAGCCCTTGGAATTGCAGCAGAAGCAGATTATTCCCAAATAATCTACAAGGCATTCATACTCTGGAGCTTTTGTGGGGCAGTCTGTTGCCAGAATTACAATCTTGAAGGCTTGTTGACAGTGTCTATATATAGATGTCATCTTTACATTCTAGAAGCTCCTTCCTGTTCTAACTCCCCCGTTGCATTAGAGAAGCCCCGTTGGCCGAAACCCACTGCCCTATTGGCCAAAACACAGTGGCCAAAACCCAGGTGCCATCAGGAGGTCCACCGGCAGGGCCAGAACTCCAGAAGCCCTCCCACTGTTACCCCCCAAGCACCAAGAATACAAAGCCCCCCCGCCCTAGACATAGTGTTCCATCTCTACCTTGTGGCTAACAGCCACTGATGGCCCTCTGCTCCGTATGTTTATCCAATCCCCTCTTGAGGCGGTCTATAAGAACCTTGTTTTAAAAGCTCTTTCTCTTTGGTCCCTTGAGCCCTTCTTTGGCCATGTCCCTACTAGGCACTCTTCTGCCTCTGTTTCCTGTGCTGTCTATAGTGGGGTTGACGGTATTCTACTATCCAGCAACTGCATTGAGCAGATGTGGAATTTGGCTTTTGAGCATGAAATCTGGCATCCTCGGAACCTTGGCTTTCATTTCTGAAAAGCCAATTTCTAGCCCTTAAATGTGCATTGAGTAGATGTAAAAGACATGTATGCACACTAGGGGAGCTGTAATTGGTTGGGACTGACCATCTTGTGTACAGTATACTTCTTTAAAAATCACGCATTGGACCTGTATAAGGTTTCTATTTCCTAGGGCCGAACACATTTGGAATCAAAAGCAACTATTATCTACTGACTTGTTTTCTTGTGTAAAATGTTGTGATTATAGCCTGGGAATCTGGGGTCAGGACATGCCTTAATATCTTCAGCTTTCGTACAGTACTTAGATCTTGACAAGCTTTCTAAATAATTATGATAATTAATGCAAATGGATTTTAGTAGCTGTGAGCCATGCTTTCAGTTGCTCAGGGTGGCATTTATGAAATTCAGATGCCTTCCAGATGGTCTTGGTCCTAGAGGGCAGGAGAGACATCTGTTTTCCCCAAAGTTAATACCAAAGCTTATGGATGAAATTCTCGGCACAAACAGAGGAGCGATCAACTCAGCCTTGTAATCGGGGCCACTAATGCAGTGTATGGGAACAGGCAGGACAATGGATCTTCTTAGCGAGGAAATCAACCCTGACTGTTCCCCGGAAGGCCAGATACTGAAGCTGAAGCTCAAATAACTTTGGCCACCAAATGAGAAGGGAGCCCTCGCTGGAGAAAGATTGCTGGGAAAGACTGAAGGTCAAAGAAGAAGGGGGCGGCAAGGGGATGAGATGGTTAGACAGTGTTATCGATGCAACGGACGTGAAACTGAGCAAACTCGGGAGGATGGTGGAAGACGGGAGGGCCTGGCGTGGTGTGGTCCATGGGGTCGCGAAGAGTCGGACTGCGACTGAACATCAAAATGTAGTTGCCGGATGACCTGCACTCATATGAGGCATTTCAGCCACGGCCTGACAAAGGAACAAGTCATTGGGTGGGATCCATACTAAATCTTCCAGTGGCAAAACGGAACTTTCCTGCCTCTCCCCTCTAGGGATGCCAGCCCCCAGGTGGGACCTGGGTTCCCCCCCAGAATGAACAGCTCATCTCCAGACTACGCAGCTCAGGTCCCCTGGAGAAAATGGATGCTTTGAGAGGGTGGACTCTGTGGCACTGTACCCCGCTGAGGTCCCTGTCCTCCCCAGGCTCCACCCCCAAATCTCCAGGAGTTTCCCAACCTGGATCTGGCAACCCTAGTCCCCCTCCCCCGTCAGTGGCCAGGGAGGGCCTGGCAACCTTACACCCCTCCCACTGCAGCCCACCGATCACTATGGAATATGACTCCTGGTGGATAGGGGACCCTGACGAATGTGGTAAGCGGCGCTGCATCCAGAAGGGAGAATCAGTGTAAATTGCCAGTTTAGTCTGGATCCAGTCCCATTACATGTGCTTATTTAAACATGCTTCTGAGTAAGCCGGAGGTCAGATATGTTTAGATGCAGTTTCAGAGGGTAGCCATGTTGGTCTGCTATAGCAGAGTTACATTCGAGTCCAGTAGCAAAATGGACATTGGGGAGCTTTGTCTCTCAAAAGCTTATACCCCCAAAACCTTGTTGGTCTCTTCTGGACACGAATCTAGCTCACATTTAGATGCAATGTCCTTGGTCCCAGCCATGGCCACTTTTTACCTGTACTGGTCTCCTATCTGTCTGTTCTTTAGAATGTGCCATTTGCAGAACAGATAAAATGAAGAACTTCTTTACCCAAAGAGTAATTAAAAAGTGGCCAGGCTTGCAACTACCAGGGCTTTCTCAGTGGTGGCCCCATCCTGGTGGAAAGAGCTCCCGGAAGAGATCAGGGCCCTGCAGGACCTCTTGCAGTTCCGCAGGGCCTGCAAGATGGGAGCTCTTCCGCCAGGCTTTCAGCTAGAGTGCCACCACCATTATAGAGCCCTGGCCTCTTGGTTTTAACATCCAGCCACAGGAAGATCTGGAGCAGAAGGATCTTTAGAGAGTATATTGAAATAAGCCATCTTGAGTAACTATCTTCTGAAACTTTATGAAACTGTATTAATAATGGGATTTGTTTTATATGGTTTTATGTGGTTTTAACTGTATTTTATGTACTGACTGTGAGCCGCCCTGAGCCCGCATTGCGGGTAGGGCGGGGTATAAATGCGATTAATAAAATAAATAAATAAATGTGGAATTCACTGCCGCAGGAAGTGGTGGCAGCTACAAGCATAGATAGCTTCAAGAGGGGATTGGAGAAACTTGTGGAGCAGAGGTTCATGAATGGCTATTAGCTGCAAGGTAGAGATGGAACACTCTGTCTGGGGCATGTGATGCTCTGTGTCCTTGGAGATTGAGGGGGGGGCAACAGTGGGGGGGTTTCTGGAGTTCCGGCCCCGCTGGTGGACCTCCTGATGGCACCTGGGTTTTGGCCATTGTGTTACAACAAAACAGAATTTTGGACGGGATGGACCATTGGCCTGGTCCCATATGGCTTCTCTTATGTTCTTATGCAGTATGTGAGTAATGTCAATGTGAGATCCTCCTGTGCCCTATTGTTTCTGCTTCTGTAAGGATAATCTCTTGCCCTTGTGTGTGATTTAAGAAAGCAGATGAAATAGCCAGGCATGTGTTTTCTCATTTTTGAAAAAGTAGGCTCAGTGTAATTTGTTTCTTTATTTAATTCATTTGGACCCCACCTTTCTCCCCAGTGGGGACCCCAAAGCAGCTTGCACCAGTCTCCTCTCCTCCATCGTATCCCCACAACAACCCTGTGAGATAGGCTGGGCTGAGAGACTGTGACTGGCCCAAGGTCACCCAGCGTAAGCATCTGTTCGTAATAAGCTGTTTCGTACCTTGCAGACACACAGCTATAAGCTCCTGTGCTATCGTACTTGGATAAAAGGCAGAAAACTCAAGTTGCTTGGCAAACTTTGTAGCACATTCCTATTTAGGCTGAGTTTTAGCAGAGGAACCAAAGCGTCACTGAGTAGCTTTACCTTGCGTTGTGCTGTGTTACATTTTGGTGAGTTTTTCATTGTACGTGGCTCTCGGGTTTCTATTTTCATTTGTACCCGGGGCCCTGGGATGACTAAAAACTTCCCGAGATACAAGACCTACGAGCTTCATGATAACTGATGTTAGTTGCTTTCCTTTTTAACAACTTTATCTTTATTTGATGACCACCTTCTGCAAGCTCAAAGTATTGTTCATAATCAGTTTCTTTCTTTTGTCTTCAGCGCCGAGCTAAAGCTTTTGGAAGAAGCTGCCGTCTCAGTCTGCAAGTCTTTAGGTAAGAGGCTATTTTGATGCTGGCGTTTATTCCAGTGTTCTTCGTATTGTCAGCTTCCCTAATAAATCACACTGCGCTATAAACCTTTGTATCTGCGGTACATTTAATATCTCCCATCTGTGCTCTGCGCATGGGATTTTTTTAAAGCCACTCTTCGCTTCCAAGCCTAGATGTAGACATATTGTCCCCGCATGTGCTGTTTGAACATAAAGTTTTCACAGGTTTTTGCTTTATTTTGCATGCTGTCACAGGAAGTGGCTTGGGCACAGCTATATTAAGATGTAATAGAACAGGTTGTGTGTTTTTTCCTACTTAAAGAAAAAAAGAATTTAAAAGCATTTATTCACAGGACAAACCGTAGAAGATAAAAGCAGAGATGGAGTATGAAAAGGGATCCGGAATCCGTGCACTCTTTGCCCCCTTTTATTTCTGCATTTGATCCTATTTCAGTCCATTTTGAGTTCCCTGGTGGATCAGGGGTGCCAGCCAATGCTCCCTCTAAGCTGTGGAGTCCTGTGAGCCAACATTCTACTTTGTGAGCTGCTGGCGTTAAAGGTGTGAGCGAGCGATTTGGCTGCTTGCATCAGTTAGTTTGCTCTGGAGCCATCCTTCCCGGGCTAAGACAAAAATGTGTGAGCTGGAAGCTATAAACTCTGAGCTGGCTCACACTTAACTCAGCTTAGAGGGAACACTGGTGCCAGCCTCCAGGTTGGGCCTGGGGATCTCCTGGAATTAGAGCTCCAGACTGCAGAGATCGGTTCACCCTGGAGAAAAATGGATGCTTTGGAGGGTGGACTCTGTGGCATTGGACCCCATGGAGGTCCATCTCCATCCCAGGCGCCACCCCCAGATCTCCAGGAGGTTCCCAACCCGGAGATGGAAACTCTGCCCCCCATCCCCTTGCCATTGGCCAGGGGCCACCTGGCAACCCTAGCTCTGACTAAGACACTGTCCCTGAACATGAAGGCTCATTTCAAAGTCTCTATTCTAAAACTTCTGCTCTTTCTGTGGCTCCAGAAGAGCCATTGGATGGGCTTAGAACCCAGTTTCCATTGTGTTGTCCTGGCTGACAGCCACTGGCTCACCTAATCTAGGGTACTTTCCCCTTTGTTATAATGATTTGTTGAAAACTGAGGACTGAACTAGATGCTAGGGGAGGCAGGGCGCTGAAAATGGCATCCCGGTGTCAAGTTCTCCTCTTCTCCCTTCGGAGCATGTAGTAAAACGTGCCTCATGTGGTGCCATCATGGTGCTCTGTATTTCCCTGCCTGCCCTTCATCTCGTTAGCGGTTTCTGAGAGGGGCAGGGAGATGTACACCACAACAACACAGGGTAAGTGTTGCTACATGTTACAGAATTTGGGGGGTGAAGTGGGGGTCTTCAGTGGAAGGGGAGGAATCAGTGAAAATCCCCCCACCCCCGCGTTTTCCACTGGCAGAAAAACAGGATTCAGGCCAATAAGCAGCAGAAAGAGAGATGAACAGCGAACTAGCAGAACCTAAATTAATGAAAAGCAGATACCAATGCGAGTATCTATTCCACCTTTGCTTTTTCCCCAAAGATTGCTAAATGGTTGTCAGCCCCTTGTATATTTTGCCTTATATCATCTACCATCTTTCAGTCTTACTGTTCTGGAACTTTGGTAAGGTTGTTGCAGTACTTTGTTTAATCTATGGTTTGATAGTTAAGGCTTTCGAATGGTCAGGAAGCAATTTTTCTCCAGGCCAGTTTGGCTGGAGAGCCTGGAGCGGGGGGGGGGGGGGGGGCAAAAAGGGAAATGTAGGGGGGGGGGGGGGGGGGGGGGGGGGGGGGGGATAAAAGGAACTATTTGTAACTTGGGAGCTATTCTTAGCCATTCGGAATGTGTCAACTTCATTAATATTGGATTACTTTGTGAAAGAATTACAACAAAACAGAATTTTGATAAAGATTGCCTCGAAACAAATATTGAAACTCGAGGAAGTTCGTAAGCACTTCAGTGACTTGACGTCCTGACCTGTTGAAAAAAGAAATTCTGGATTAAAACAACATGGAAATGCCAATACATTATTGTCCTCATTTTGTGAATGTTTGAACTGTTGCAGCAATTTTCTGTTAATTTATGTATTTTGATTGCTGTGCCCTTTAGTTATATTATCTTCTGGGTGTGGAACAGGGGTCACTGGGGGTGTGGAGGGAGAGGTGTTTGTGAATTTCCTGCATTGTGCAGTGGGTTGGACTAGATGACCCTGGCAGTCCCTTCCAACTCTATGCTTCTATGATTGTATGATTCTATGAATGGTCATTTGTAGTAAAAACACAGTGCTATATTGTTTTATGAAAAGTAATCTTGTAAGCCCATGAAAGAGGAAGGAGAGGATTACATTCCCCAAAAAAGAAGACCCGCTCTTTGAAACTCTGTGTTAGAACTGATAAAAGGACTTTTGATGGAAGTGCCATTGTCCAAATTTGAGGCAAGGAAAAAGCTCATCAGGAGCAACCTTGAGTGGCAGAGAGGAAGACAAGGGCAAGGGCATAAAAATGGTTGCCTTCGACTTTGGACTTCTCAGCCCCGGAGGCACAGCACAGCCCCCTGATGGAACCATGGCTTTAGTGCTATTTAATTAACCTCTCTGAGACCACATTCCTTTGTGTGTTGGAATTCCCTATTCCCCATGGTTCAAGCTTGGGTAAGGCATCAGGTGAACAGATAGAGCTGAGTCAGGAAGAGCTTTGTTTCTCTATACCCATGTTAGAAGATATGATAACGCCAGTGAAACTGGCGCTCAGGGTTCACCCGCTCCTTGTGTTGCCTGAGCCCCAACACCTGGCAAGGCTGCTCCGTAGGTCCACCTGTCAGGTGTTGGGATTTTATCCTTTTTTTCAGGTTTACTTTTGGGTGGGGGGCTCAGAGGGAGATATTTACTTCAAATAATACCACTCTGTACCACTGAGTGTTCCAATATAGAGTTGAGTTTATTCCTGTATAGGTGTGGGTATGATTGCATTTATTCATGTATAGGGTTGGTTACAATTGGATTAGTCCCATGTCAGGTCATGGCCTTGATGTTTCAAAGATGCAAGAGTCGTTACGTAATGTGAAATGCTGTGTAAATTCTTTTGAATCCTAGTGGGGAACAATCCTCGGACAGGCAATCTCGCCGCGCTGATTAAAGTCTTCCTTTCAAGAACCAAAGAGTTAAAAATTTCGGCAGAATGTCAGAAGTAAGTGTGATGAATGTTGAGTTTGTTAATTTCTGCTTTTGTTTGCGCGTTAATTGCTGCTTTTTTACCCTCAAGTAACAGCTGACTTATAGCTTACCCGTTAGGATTTTCAAGCCAACAGGCATTCAGAGGTGGTTTGCCATTGCCTGCCTCCATGTCACGACGCTGGTATTCCTTGGAGGTTCTCCTATTTAGATACCAGCCAGGGCCGACCCGGCTTAGCTTCCGAGATCTGACAAGAGCAGGCTATCCAGGACTATCCAGGTCGGGGCAGTTGCCTCTTAAGTATTAGAAAATTTAGCAGCTGGCCCACCCATGGCTGTGGTCACACACACTAAATCAGGGGTGTCAGACACGCGGCCCGGGGGCCGGATCAGGCCCACAGTGGAACTGGCCATCTCCTGCTTCCCGTTCTGCAGCTGCTGCTGCTGAATCATAGCTTGCTTCGCCAGACTCTCTTAATCACTCAGCCATTTCATGTTTTAACCTGGGCCCTAGACTCAGAACTCTGAGCATGTGATTTCTGTGGTGAATGTCAATAAATCAAAAGTAGGTTTGCAGCTTACAGAGCTAATGTTTTAAGCATGTTTTTATTTTAAGTAAAAAAATGTTTGTGTCCTTTATAAAGTTTATATCTTCATGGCCCGGCCCGGCAAGGTCTCATTTATGTCAGATCCAGCCCTCATAACAAATGAGTTTGACACCCCTGCACTAAGTAATCCACTTTCAGTGCACTTTCCAACTGGATTTTTACTGTCTGAACTGGCAAAATCCAGTTGGAAAGTGCATTGAAAGTGGATTATTTAGTTTGTGTGACCGCAGCCCATGTGTCTCAGCAGGTTGGTAGAACAATGGGGAAGGCGTGCTGCTCGCCCCAGGTGACCTGGTTTTAAGCATATATGATAAATCTTGGAAACTGATTTTGCATTCCCTGTGCATTTCTTTTAGTCTGTGGGATATTTGAAACCACTCAAAACGTAGGCCTGCCAAAGCTGGACTACAGCTATTTAGATGTAAAACACAGAAGGTAGATTGGTAGGCTGTGTAGCATTATGGGATCTTCTAAGGGATGGGTTTTGAGAAGGGGGGAAA